GTAAACTCGACCATTATGAAGCAAGAAATACCTTGAAACTCACCTTTCCTTCGCATATACTTTCCACTGGTCTGATGTGCAAATATTCCTTGAGTTTTTAAATCCAACCCTAAAATTGCAAGCATTTTGGGAATTAAGATCTATAATAAATCCTGTAAATTTCGCTACTCAAAATTATCACAGTATTCTCTTGTATCTTTTAAAACCTACACCAGTGGTTGTCTAAACTTTTCCTTGTCGCGGCGCCCTTTTTCAATTAAATTTTTCCATGGCGCCCTATCCTAATTATGACTATTTGTAAGTAAGCGATAAAAATAAATAAAATTCGTCTATCTTCATTATTTTTTTTACTTTATTAACATTAAATTAATATTTACTAATTAATGTGATGGATGAGCCTGCAAATCATTGCCCATTTTCTCAAACTGAAGCTTTTACAATATTTCGCGGCGCCCCTGTAAAGTGGCCACGGCGCACAGTTTGGGAATCACTGACCTACACAATCGCCTTAACTAACTTATGTTTGTTAATTTAGTTGGATTAAATAAATAACTAACCAAACATCACTGCCTTCACCGATGAATGAGCTGATTCATGCGCATGAGCATGCGTTTTTAACAGCAGACTACATCGCAAGACAATGTGAAACTGCATTGTGGCCACATGAGATCCATCCACAATTCCGTTCTTCATACAGGCTAGAATTATATGGAACTAAGATCCAGACTGATGTCACGTCAGTTGGCCAAGATGTATCTGCCGACGTTGCAATCTCTTATTGGCAGACTTTCATTAAAAATGTAAGTGAGTCAACAGTTAACACGCGCTGGGACTGCAGGTAAGAAATTTGGGATTCTTGGAGAATCACCTTTTTTCCATTCACATCTTCAAGTCTGCATTCGGCACTGCCAGGCCGGCATTTCAACGGCTGACGATTGCATGATGGCGCATAAAGCGGCTGAGAGCATATGCAACATTCAGCGTAACTGGAGGCAGAGTTGCTGGGCCAGAATGAAGCGATATCATTCACCGAAGCACTTATTTTTATTCGATGTATTCACCCAATTTCGTTTAAGGTGATGAAGGATTGGTAGAAGAAGAATTTTCCCACAATGATGGGAGTTGAGCTAACGTTTCCATTCAATTTCACATAGTCTTGTATTCCCAAAAGTTGTTCTCATCCCGACCGGATTGGACTGCAGTTTCGACCTCGCATCGGTCTTACCAACACCCTCAGAGCAAGTCGAACCGCGACAGTGCA